GTGTATAAGACTTAATATTTTTTCCTTATAAAGTATTTTAAATTGATTTAAAGTAGAACGTTTTTTTTCAAACCGTCATCCAAACTATTCTATAATTTTACCCCATAAACTGAAAAATACATTTGTTTTAAAGTAGTGCGCACAGTTTTACTTTTAAAACTATATTTTCTTCGGTTATTTCTGTCATTTGAACTTAAGACAAAAAGCCTTTGTAAATTGCAAATGATGTGCCTCCGTGAGCTGACAATGAAGGTAGTTACAGAACCTGATCAAATCAGTGATATATTAGGTTGAGACTTGTATTAAAAGTTGCTAGACTAAATTTGAGATATGTGGCACCCCATTAGAACAATGTACATCTTAAAAAAACAGTTTCAAATCAAATAAGACCATTAAAATTGAATTTGACATCTAAATCAGGGGCGCCTGCGAGGAGGGGTGTGAATGGGCTAGGGTGCCTCTTTTAGTTAGCATTTTGCTWCTTTGTGCTTTTAATTAGGCTTTTGTTACTTTTAGGTTCTAGCTAATGTTTTGATACTTTTATCTACATTTTGCTGCTTTTAGCAAGCCTTCGCTACATTTAGCTTCTAGGTAGATTTTACTTCTTAGTTAGCATTTGTGCTTTTAGTTGACTTTTTGTTAGTAATTGTACCTTTTTGAAAAATACATTTGTAGTTTTTGATTTTGTTTCAGTGTTCAAGTTTCTCCTTTTTGTTTCACACTCCTCTGTTCTGCCACGCCCACTCGCACCTGATCCTGTTTGYCCCTGCACAGGTGTTCATTATTTAGATTTGTTAAATGGTCTTTGTGTTCCCCGTGTGTTTTTTTTAGGTTTTGGTTCAGCATTACTTCCTGTATGTGTTTGTCCTGTTACCATGATAGTGTCCAGTTCACTTCATGAGTTCTGTTTGGTACCGTTTGCTGCMTTGACCACATTTTGTTTTACAAATCTGAGTCAAGAGAGGTCACGTCTGCTATTTGGGTCACAACTCTTTTACCTGCAAGCATGACAATGAAACAAGCAGATGCAGCTAACATTCTATTGACTGGTTTGTTCCTATTAAATCTTTGGCCTGTCAACTGAATTGACTCAAACACAATTAGGAAAAAATTTACAAATAAAAAAAATTCCCATACGTGGTCCAACAGACAGTGATGCAAAGAATTATAACTGCAAAAATTGCTATAAAATGATGGTAATCTGCTCTAAAACTGAACTCAACTTGGACTAGTCATTAAMCCAACTCTTGCGAGAGAAGTCCTGYTTTATATTCRGAATGACGTGATTTCTGCTGCAGGTAAGATACTGATTACTGATAACTCCACAGARGCCCATTCCAAAGAGTCTGAACTAACCCTTTTATACCAATGCAGAATTAATGTTAATAGATAAATTCCAGTTATCTTCATAGCTTTAACTGTACATTACAATGACAAAAGAAAACACATKAAGTTATGCTTTAAATCCACTTTAATTTGTCATAATTCATTCCATCTCAAGCAGAAGCTTAGTGAGATTTGTTTTTCCTGTAWATCTAAAGGTCGCTTCAGTTGAACATGATGCAGAACCACTCATGCTTTATAASAAAACAAAGACCAATAAACAGTCTTAGCAGCTGAGTCTTTTTTGATTGGTTAACATCACTTGTTGCAACGAGCAGAATAAAAGTGTCTGTGAATTACCGTGAATTATGTGGGAGCTTGTTACACAGCTGAGGTAAACGAAGGAGATTTGAGAAATAATCCCTTCCTCAATCTGGACACCACAGCTGGTCGTCTCAAGTCTCTCCATCCCTCCCGACACATATGGACACATTTTGTACACACGCACGCATGTCCAGAGCAGAACCGCATGCTGGTGCCAGTTTGAACAGTGACACATGGATGGTGGAGTGTGTTGGTGTATTTTTCTTTTCTTTCCTGAACCCCCGTCCATGCACAAACACGTGCTCTGATTCACAGGTCAGGCAAAGCACTTGCAAATGGAGATGCTCGGCACCCAGTTGGACAAGTTGCACGTCCCTGACTCCATCATAAAAGAGCATTTGGAGGAATTTCGACCTGAAAGGGGTCAGGCAGCTATCACCATCAGATTTTTTTTTTCAAATAAGAACTCTTTATCTCTGCTTGTGTTGTTTTACTGACACTTGTAATTGCCGCCGCTGGTTTCTTGGTAATGCGTTCTCACAGTTTGTGGCCGTCTGTTAAATTTTTATGCTTCTGCAGTTGACCAGAAGCCAGATTGGCGGCGGGGAGGGAGGGAGGGAGGGAGGGAGGGAGGGACGTGGTGGGGGAAAAAATAAACATGTTGACCTTGTGTACAGATTTAGCACACAGAAGCATCAGTGATAGGGCAGCTGTGCTGTGGCAGGAGGCAGAAGCTGGAGCTCCAATCAGATCAACAAGTCAGATGGCTGCAGTTAATACCTCCGTGTGTGTGAACGTAACGCTCTCTGCAGCGCAGCGCACACACGCCGACAGATTTAGCCGGACTCTGCTGCAGCCCTCCGGTGTCTTTAAGGGTTCTGGGGGTCAGTTTCCGCAGAACCTTGCACTCTGACCGATATTCTTTGTGTATTTACATCCTGAAAATGATCATCTGAACACTCTGATGCGAGCTGCAATCTGTCAGAGTCATGTTAAAGTCATTGACCATCTCCCTTAAAGGGGAATCCTGTAATTGCCTGTGTTTGTGCATGTGTGTGAATATTGCCTGTCTGTTWGCAAAATATCTTACAAACCAGTGAACAGATTTTTATGAAACTCATGCAAACTACGCAATGGACATCCACCTAGAAGTGWTTAACTTTTGAAGCTGATCCAAATCAAGATGTCTGTTTCAGCCTACTGAACTTACAAAACACAAAAATGATTGTAATTCTGTCAACAATGCAGGTAATAAGCTAACCTACAGTGAGGTAGTAACTGAGAGTCATCCAAACCTATATTTTAAGTGTGACTTATGTGCAAGATCTTTCCTAGACATTTTAGCCTTCATTTTTAAACTCGACCCTGTTTGCCTGTTAGCAAAATATCTCATAAATCACTGCACAGATTTCATTAAAACTTTCAGAAGATATTTAACAGATGTAAGTTTACAATTGATTAACCTTTTGGAGTCAATTCAATTCAAGATGGTTAATCAGCTTTAGCAAACAAAAAAAAGTGTTAGAACTCATCTTTTCCACTATTCAGCTGAAATTTGCTGTGGTAGTAGCTGCGATCTCCATCACACACTCAAATTGATACACATAATTCATTATTTAGTCTTATGATTTTAAATTTAGCTCAAACTTTTAAGTTACACCGTTTGTGTTTGAAACTTTGGCATGCAGAATGGAAAAGGGAATGCTAAAAGTAAAACAAATAACAGTTTGTCGTTTTTGTGTTTGCTGACGTCACTTAACTRTGACTGCTAGTTTGAACCAGATCAACTAAAGATATTTCTTTTATTTTGCTAACAGAGACAAAAGCAGCTACATGTTGACTTTCATGATGAAGACGATAAAGCTAAATTTAATTTTCTGGTCAATTCAGCTTTCTTTTCTTTTCTTTCTTTTTTTTTTTACAGGAAGTGGAAGACATCAGAAGTACAACACGGCCCACCGTCTGTCTCCTGCTCCACGTCTCAGAATCCAGCCCCTCACCATGACCCCATCTTTCCCTTTTCCACATATTGTGTTGCCTTTCACCGCTGCACTTATTGCTTCCTCTGATTAATCTTCCTCCTCGCTTCCCCTGACGGACCGGTCTGAGTCGGTATAGACTTCCTGTTGGTTTTCAAAACAACTCTTCATGTCAGCCTCCCTTCCGCC